CAGAGTTGGAAAATTATTTCAACTTGGTGCAGCAGTTCCTTGGTGAGGCGCCGCATATCAATGCGATGAAGAGGTCAGCGTGCATATAGGGTGCGCGGATGGCTCTTGCCCGTGTCAAGACATACTGGGCAGAAATGGAAGCCACTGATGTTGCATCCCCAGACTCAGATGGAAGCCGAGTACGTGCCGAGCGCTATTTTCAGGAAGTTCTGCAAGGCGCTCGTTTAATAGAGATGCAGTGCTCGAAGGATACTATATTCGAATAGCATGTATTATTGTAAAACAATATTTTGATGAATTATAGAAGCTTTTTATACTTGTGCCTGCAAGTATTATGATACCTCATGTGCGGCCGTTTAACATATATGTATATATAATCTGAAAGATGGCAGTCGTCGGCTTCAGCCCCCACGCACATAATGCGGGGGTGTTCGCAGAAGGCGCATTTTCACACTTGATCCAACGTCTTGGTCCTACAAAGGAGGTGATAGCGCAGCGAACGAGGCAATCGGACTATGATCCTTTATCACTTTCACTTAGCCATAGAAGTTTGACATTGAGGCTACTTATATAGCCCCTGGTGGCGCCTGCGCTCGCCCGAACTCGGGGCATGTATGTGCCTGGCCGGGAAACGGCCCTTCATTAATGCGGATGAATCCTAAAGATTCCGGTATGTCATCGAGTGGTTGACCAGTCTCACGTTATATCATGACAGTCAGTTTTTGACTTTCTCTACTGAGGTGCTCGCCTGGCCGAACCGGGGCACAATCGCAGTAGTTCTCCTGGTGCCGCCTTAGCCGATAGAGCGGAACGTAAGGCAGCAAAACACAGGAGCCGGGCAAACCCAACATTTGACCAAAGACATGATTCGGAGCTGATGCATATAAGGCCAAACTCGCGACGCCGAACACTCCCTAAGGTATTCGTTCTTTATGAGGGCAGGCAGGATAACGCCCTTAGTAATAAGGCCCTAGTGTCCAGGTACGCGCAAAACTCTGACGTGGCCACATGCCAAAACGCCAGCCTCCTCCTTGGTTATACCAAGAAACCAGGGGATGTGTATTAACAAGAGACAGTAAAAAAGGTTTATGCAGGGTCTTAATCTGAAAAGAATCCTTGGAACGGGTCCCTGCTGCACGTCTGCGCCTGTGTTCCGTTGTGCCGTATCCTGGATGGGCGTAGCATGGTGTTCATCTGTAAAAGAGAGGAATTTAGTTAAAGAAAGATCGTGCTGAACATGAGTTATACTAAATAAACAAAGTATAAATCGAAATGGGTAAAATTGAGCTTTATTGTCTCTTGTTTTATATGCGTGGAGCCCCTAGTACAGGGGTATACGGCTATTAAGCCTTTATCAATTGTATGTTTATGCCAGACTCGTCTAGCCGTATCCGTGGTCTTGACGACCTGTTTAGATGCTTTGGCTAGTAAAGCCGCTTTATTGTGGGGCTGTCAAGGCAGCCGCACTGTTTTCCGTGCGGGAGGAACACTCAATGTTTTGCCCTTAATGAGATGATGCCTCGTGGACCGGGCATCTTAAGCGTAAGAGATGCATAATGCGGTATTGCGTTAAAGCGGGCGAAAGCTTCACGTCCTAGCAGTGCTTGATAGCTACTTGAGAATGGGGCGATGTGGAAAGTTAGCTGTTCGCAACGGAAGTTATCGGGGGAGCCGAACATAACTTCTAGCTGGAGAGAACCCATGCAACGGGCATCCAGGCCTGGCGTTATCCCTTGAAAGGAGGTTTTGTTATGGCAAACTTTTGTTGGGTCTATCCCCATGTTGCGGATTGTGTCCTGGTATAACAGGTTTAGACCACTGCCGCCGTCCATCAGGACATTTGTAAAATGGAGTCCGCCGATTATTGGATCTAATACCAAGGCAGTCCAGCCTGCGTTCCGGATACTTCTAGAGTAATCCTGATGGTCAAAGGTGATTGGTTTTAACAACCATTGGCGAGACTCCTTTGGTATAGGTCGTATGGCGCGTATCTCTAGTGGCGCCGTTCTATTCGTTACGTGAAGTAAGTTTACTGTTTTGACTTCTTATGGGAAATCCTTTTGTTTCCTAGTGCTCTGCTTGTGGGGTTCGTCATCATCCTCACTTGGTGTGTCGAGCCCCTTGTGTTCGGCGTTGAGCTTGCTGGCTTGCTTGAAAACCCAACAATCTCTGTGGGTATGGTTCGCAGGCTTCCTAGGAGTACTGTGTATTTGACATATCTTGTCCAAGATTTTGTTTAAGTTAGATAGCTCGTCCCTGTTATCCTTGAGGGGCGGCTTTCTCTGATTCTGCCGCGAGCTTTTGAATCCCGCGTTGACCGCCGTGCTCTTTGGGCTGTTTCCCTTATTCCGGCGCTGGTCCTTGCTGCGTCGAGGTTTTTCGTTTCCATCCCTAACTTCGGATGTACTTGGGTCGCTGGTGCTGCATCTTGCCAACCAGCTGTCCTCTCCTGCGCAAAAGCAGGTCATGAGGCCTGTCAATGCGGCCATTGTTCTTGGCTTTTCTTGGCCGAGGTGTCTGGCGAGCCATTCATCTCAAATGTTGTGCTTAAAAGTTGCTAGGGCTTCGGCGTCCGGACAGTCGACTATCTGATTCTTTTTAGTAAGAAATATGTTCCAGAATTTCCGGGCTGACTCTCCGGGCTGTTGAGTTATGTGACTGAGATCGTCTGCATCCGGAGGGCGGACATAGGTCCCTTGAAAATTTTCCTGGAAAGCATCCTCAAGCTCTTCCCAACTTCCAATGGTGTTTTCGGGAAGGCTTTTGAGCCAATGCCGGGCTGGCCCTTTAAGCTTGAGGGGTAAGTATTTTATGGCGTGGAGGTCATCTCCTCTGGCCATGTGTATGTGGAGGATATAATCCTCGATCCAGACCCCAGGGTCTGTTGTTCCATCGTACGCCTCTATGTTTACAGGCTTGAATCCCGCTGGAAATTCATGGTCCAGCACCTCATCGGTGAAACATAGGGGGTGTGTGGCACCCCTGTATTTGGGTGTGCCGTGATGTTCGGATATTTTTTGTGTTGCATTGCTTACTAGAGCTTCCTTTCTTGGCCCATATATAGATCTGGCTGGGCCGTCTTTTTGATGCGGATCATTTGGTGGATCGCGTGCCGACTTGTGTGCGACGTCGCTTGCCGCTCCATGCTGGCCATGCGGTCGTCCATCCGACCGGATGGCTTTCCTATTTTTTGACTGCGGGGGCTCTAAGGCCTCCTCGTCAAATTCAGGCAGTAGCTTTCGCTTTGGATAGATTTTTGTGCGGCGACTGCCGGCATACTTGTCTGCGGTGTTGCGTACTCTGCTCCATCTGATTCTGAGTGCATCTTCCACAGTTTTGAGCTTCTGCTTCTGCTTTTTCAGGCTATGCATAGTGGCAATGAGCCTTTTGTGGAGGTTCTTCTGCTCCATGAGTTTATCCGGCGTAAGGTTGTCCGGACTGTTGTTTTCGCTGGGGACGGGGTGTTCGATTTCTTTATCCAAGTTTCCCTCTTCGGACGCTTGCTCGAAGGCATGTTCGTCGTCCGCCGGCTTGTCCTGCTCTATGGCTGGGTCTGTATGGCTGTTGTCTTTGTCGAGGCGAGGCTTGGAGCGGCGCTTACGTCGCCGCTTTGATTGCTTTTCGAGTGAATGATCCCTCGTTGCATCCCTGTGTTCCTCATCGTTGCTTCCTTTGGGTGTGTCCACCATGTATACATCATGAGATGAGGTGGCTGTCCAGTGCCTTATAGGCGTTGGTTTGTGTTCATCTCCTACATCGTCGTCCATACCATCGATGTCTTCGGAGTCGAAATCGAGCACGTCGTTTAAATTATCGATAGTGGCTACGAAGTGGGTGGTGGGTGGGCTTTGAATTTCCTCATCATCCGCATCCCAACCTTGTTGACCATAGTCCGGCCAGGGCTCTCCTGATAAAGAGAGAGACTTTAGTGAATTCAGAATATCGTCGAAGGGCGAGTGCTGAAAGATGTCCGTGGTGTTGAACTCCATGATTGGCGTCCAATCGGGTTCGATCGGTCGGGGCGTGGAGGGCTCGGAGTCTGGAGAGGAGTTCGGCTCCTTGGAGTCACGGGCTTTGCAGAGAATAGGGCAGGTGTTCGGCTCGATCACCGTAGAGATTGCAGCCCCCGAGGCGGTGTCTAACCACCTATCCTCGATTGGTGTGATCGGCTCCGAGCTAGGGGTCAGAGCGGACACAGGTGTGGCCTCCAGGGCACTGTTCGGCGGCAGAGCTAAATCATGCCCATCGTGATAGTGCGGCGCGCTCGGCTGTGGCTCGAATCCGTCGAAGATCGAGTCTCCGCGGATGTCGGCCGTGTAGTTCAAACTTCCAAATCTGACCTGATGGCCAGGGGCGTAGCTTTCGATCTGCTCCAGATGGCCAAGCGAATTGGCCCGCAGTGCAAAGCCGCCGAATACGAAGATTTGTCCGGGGAGAAAAGTCTCACCCTGGATCGCATCACTGTTGATGATTGGAGAAGCCATCGAGCCTAAAAGTGACGACACAGAGGAACTCTAAATGAAAGCACCAATGTCGGTGTCAAAACTGGCGGATATCGGGTAGGGGATCCCGAACTGTGCGTCTAGGTCGGATGGTAACAGGAGGCAGGGGACACGATGTTTTACCCAGGTTCGGGCCCTCTTGATGGAGGTAAACTCTATGTCCTGCTTGATTAATATTGATGATATGGGTAGTACAAGAGTAGATCTACCACGAGATCAGAGAGGCTAAACCCTAGAAGCTTGCTTATGGTATGATTGTTGTTCGTCCTACGGACTAAAACTCTCCGGTTTATATAGACACCGGAGAGGGCTAGGGTTACATAGAGTCAGTTACAATGGTAGGAGATCTACATATGCGTATCGCCAAGCTTGCCTTCCACGCCAAGGAAAGTCCCTTCCGGACACGGGACGAAGTCTTCAATCTTGTGTCTTCATAGTCCAGGGGTCCGGCTGAAGGTATAGTCCGGCCATCCGGACACCCCCTAATCCAGGACTCCCTCACTTATCATCAGCACTTACATTTGATAGGATCCCAGCGGCAACAACAATGAGGAGGGTAACAACAGTGGCCGCCCTCAGGCACTGCTCATCTTGCTGCTGTATTATTTGCCCCGCGATCTCCTTATACGAATATGTCGCTGTTACCCCATACCTCTCATGGACCATAGCCGCGGTTCCACCTTCTGCCATGTGCTTCAGATGCAACTGTTCTCCATTAGCCTGCCATGGCCAACCACTACTTTGTGACATATGCTGCCCTGGAATTGATGCCCTTCCACCAACAAGCTTAGACCCAGTAAAGTGATTTCGTCCCAGAAATTCACCAACCGGTGGTCCATGCTCCGTGAAATCCCTCACCACTAATTGATCTCAGGAAACCCAGCGATTATAGATCAAATATGTGGAACAAGTCTTATGTTTTGATTCATCTTCGTCACATGAAACTATGCAGTAAGTTGTGCATGATGATAGGCTTCAAATGTTGTACTTGAACGATACTTTAAAAAACAAACAAATCTTCAATGTCATAGGCACCACCTACAACACATGTAGAAATTCAACCAATTGTATGTGACATATGAACCAAATTACCATTAATAAATGAAGGCCTTCTTGCTAGGACGGGGTAACAACAAATAAAAGAAACAAACACTTCATAGTGCTACGGATGAACTATAAGCAATAATCTACCATTAGACAACAAGATTGGTTCCTGTGGGGTGCAAAAGGTTGTTCTAATTCAGAAGGAAAAAACGTACAAAACGATTGGTGTACTGCCCTACAAAATTTGTAGAAGTGGCACAAACATTGAATCAGAACTTTTAAACTCTAGCATTAGTCAATAAGATACCAGAAGCAAGATAAGAGAACATGGGTGTAGCTACTTCAGATGCCTTGCATTTGTATGTTCACCAATATAGCATTGCCGACGTTATGCATGTCTCACTTCAGGCTGATTCTTTTGCTACCTAGCTCAGTAAATGTGAATGTAAACCTCTTTTTTTGGTCAAAGAAAAATTAGATGCAAAAATCCATTGCTAGGTTGAAATCAACCCAATTAGGCGGATCCATATGTTCACTTTAGTCTGTTCTCTAAGTACAAATGCCATTTTCCACACCGAAAGTTGTAATGTGAGTATTGCTTAGCAGTAAAATTTTAAAAAACTAATTCTGAATTCAAGATGGGAATTTGGAGTACTTACGAATGGTAGGAGTCCGACAACACAAAAAATGAGGGTAGCAACTAAGCAGCGGCCAGCAGACACCAACATCCAGAACCTCGGCCGCTGCAGCGAGCCTCAAGCATTGAAAGTTTGATCCACACACTCATCCAGCCACATGCGTCTCCCAAGGATCAAATCCACCACCCCAAGGAATTAAAATAGGAAGAAAATCACCTATCTGTACGGGCAACAGTGGCCTCGCCTGCGACCACCCTTCGCCTTTCCAGCTTGGAGACGGCGAGATGCGCCCTGGCTGGTGGGCGGCGATACAACCGCAGTTCGAGTCAGACCTGGAGGATCCCCTTCCTATCATTGGCCATGCACGGGCTGCCGACTTGATTAGGCACGACCACTCCGGTCATGCGAGGGCAGACTCGATCTGTTTTCTCCTCTGCGGTGGACAAGAGAAATGGGAGAAGAGATGTACACACTCTAGGATAAGTTTACCCTGCTGTGAATTCTAAGGGGCAATGAATATATTTTAATATTATTACTTTTCTCTAGAATTAGGTACATTTCTGTTAGAATAAATCCGAGGCATACCGTCGATCATCCAAGGACCAAGCAATCACACGAGCACGACACCGAGATTTGTTAACGAGGTTCACCGATATGGCTACATCCCCGGGGCCTGACTACGGGCGCTCCTCCTCGTGACACCGCTACAATACCGCACCCGGTCGCCCTGGACACCGGCACATGTCGTCGGCTTCCCCTACGTTCCGGTGTTATTATGTTGGCATAGGTTACATCGTGTGTCTACCCTCTCTATATAAGAGAGGTCTAGGATACAAGTGTCCTATTAGGACACGACTTCATATCCTATCTAAACACAATACAACCCAGAGTCCAACTGTAACCTACCTTGTACAACATATTCGACACAACTCCAACAAACTCCACCTTGGTGAATATCCTCCACCACCTTGAATTTGTCAATGCGTCAAACTTCCATGTACATTGAACTTGAGCTTATCCCATGAGCACCGCTGTTACTCCAAAGACTCCATATGACTCCACCTGCAACTTGTAGTCCCTCCTTTTCTTGACCACAGTCAACACTCGAGCAAAATTAAGTTCCACATTACTCTAGTTTGCGCTCCCAACTTCCAGAGCATCAGTCCAACGTCATCACACACTGATCACTGACCTGCGTGAAAGTGAACAACTCACATATTGGGTGTCACACATAAGAGTTACCTGAACTCAACATCACCGCTCCTTTCTTGACCGCTTGTCTGAAACTTGAAGGAATTTCACCATTGCTTGTTGTCATCCCGAGTCAACTTCGCAGATGTCTCACCACATGTATGACCACCAGAGCTCTGGCCCATCTCCATGTCCCGTGCATACCGCATGCCTCGCCGCTATTACCGCATCAAGCCTCCACTGTCCCGGTCGAGTCTCAAGGGCCGCGAACCCACACCACTCAACCTCCACTACAGAGCATCACCGATTATCACCGACCGGTGACGAGTTTCACGCTTCCATCAGACCACTGGGCTCCAGTACGAACTGCATGTCACTCGCTTTTCCCGCTGAAATAGGCTTCGACTCTCTAACGTCTTACGACGTAGCCTCTCAATCAGCACCAAGTGAAGTCTTCCGCTAGACTCCAGCTCCACCTTTAACATGACTCCATGATAGATGATCAGTCCATCCTTGCGCCTCATTGATTTCAAGCTCCGTGTATACACCACCTTGAATCAACCCCGCGCCATAGCCTTATCGAAGCCGCACAAGCCCTCAGACCTGCACCACGTGTTTCCACGCCCAGAAGTCGGTCACCATCAGCATCACGCTCCTATGTCATCTTCGCTGATTCCACCACCATCTTCTGTACCAACCGACTTGCATCGATCCCGTCAGACTATCCAGTCCAACACAATCGAACTTGTCCGAGTGCACGACACGCTCCAGACTCAAGCCATCACCGTGACCTTTTCCATCCATACACAAAACATGCACTGACAAAGAAAACCAAAGCAAACTCCCCCGTAGCCTTCCCGTGTGAACCAAAAGAGATCAACAAACTCTTCATTCACCACACGTACGTAGCTTCTGGATCTTTTCCTTTCTTTCTTGATAGCAAACAAATCACGATCAGACTCTGTCCTTGTGTCATTTCCTTTTATTTAATCAGCATGATATTCGACACAACTCCAACAATTTCTTACACCGGTGGGTCTACTTGCTACAGACTTTGGAAGTAATGTATTCCCTCCTTTCCAAAATAGATGACCCAACTTTATACTAATCCGTTCCAAAATAGATGAGTCAACTTTTTACTAACTATAGTACAAAGTTAGTATAAAGTTGGGTCATCTATTTTGAAACGGAGGGAGTAGAAGTATAAAGACAGACTTTGGTATTGCCACCACCACCACCATGGATTAGGACCATGCCAGAATGGATTGGGACCATCACACGTTGACCCATGGTTTGTTTATTTGAAGAAGATATGTTCAGATATGTTCATTGCTTACCCAGTCAGTCAGCGTGCAGCAAGAAATAAAATTGGCTGGAAAAAATAAAATTGCATACAATGTTAGAAGGCAGAAATGCAAGTCCAAATAATTGTATCAGAATAACATAACGAAGCTCATTTACCAATAATGTAAAATATAACATAATTAAGGTCCCATGATTGAGCTATATAGAGCATTATTCACATTAGAAGGAAACGTGTGGCTCTAATGTGTAGTAATTCATTGAGACATTCAAAAGGTTTACCCTTAAAATTCTAAAATATATTCATAAATGAACTAATTTTCTTGAATGTATAGTAAAACATGCTTTATTTTTTACTCCAATACAGTATAACATATTTAAGAATCACCTATATTTAGAATGGCAAAACATACTAACAATAAATCTAGCCACGCAATTGTGCGGATGCACCTACTAGTTTTGGAATTATTCCGGGTTCGTTTCCCCTTTTTATGCATTAATTGAGTTTCTAGTCATTTAATGTGCATAATTCAAATTTGAACTACAAGCACATGCTCCCGTGCACCAAAGTTGGTTGAAAAATCACATGCGTGTCCTCGGGTGAATTTTTAGGTCCCATGCAAGAAATGGGAATGAAATTCAAACATCTGGGAATCGTGGCTCGGCCAAGAACATTGAGAAACATGGTTTCAAAATTCTTGTAAATCCAAAACACGCCTAAAAATCATGAAACTTGGCATGGTCTCATGTCATGGTACTACCATGCTGTGGTAAAAAATGGCCGAATAGGAACAAGTTTTGGTATAAGCTTGTTGCAAACCGGAACTTCTCTCAAGAAGGCTTGTGATTCTGAGAGGGAACGTGTCACCTTTGAGTGTGGAACGATATACGCTACCCCCCCCCCCCGCCTTGAGTTTCTTTACAGAGGCAACATAGAACTACATGAGTGCGCTGTTAAATTTTGGAATTATTCCGGGTTCGTTTGGCCTTTTTTATACATTAATTGAGTTTCTGGTCATTTAATGTGCATAATTCAAATTTGAACTACAAGCACATGCTCCCGTGCACCAAAGTTGGTTGAAAAATCACATGTGTGTCCTTGGGTGAATTTCTAGGTCCCAAGCAAGAAATGGGAATGAAATTCAAATACCTGGGCATCGTGGCTCAGCCGAGAACATTGAGAAACTTGGTTTTAAAATTCTTGTAAATCCAAAACACGCCTGAAAATCATGAAACTTGGCATGGTGTCATGTCATGGTACTATCATGCTGTGGTAAAAAAATTGACTAAATAGGAACAAGTTTTGGTATAAGCTTCTTGCAAACGGAGGTTCTCTCAAGAAGGCTCATGGTTCTGAGAGGGAACGTGTCACCTCTGAGTGCGGAACGATATACGCTGCCCCCCTTGAGTTTGTTTATAGAGGCAACATAGAACTACATGAGTGCTCTGTTAAATTTTGGAATTATTCCGGATTCGTTTGGCCTTTTTTACATTAATTGAGTCTTTGGTCATTTAATGGGCATAATTCAAATTTGAACTACAAGCACATACTCCCGTGCACCAAAGTTGGTTGAAAAATCACATGTGTGTCCTCGGGTGAATTTCTAGGTCGCATGCAAGAAATGGGAATGAAATTCAAATATCTAGGCGTCATGGCTCTGATGGAAACATTGAGAAACTTGGTTTTTTAATTCCTGTAAATCAAAAACACGCATGAAAATCATGAAACTTGGCTTGGTGTCATGACATGGCACCAACATGTTGTGGTAATTTTGCTGTCCGATTTGCGAAGGCGCACACATTAACAATCAACAAAGTCATTTTGGAACAAGTGATGTCATGTTACAATCGGAAACACAAGTATTACTGAAACCGTGGGCGTTCTATTTACCATTTACGTGCAGCCACGCGTCCCTTTTTTTATTAGCTAGGAGGCACCATGCAGGTTAGCTATTTGAGTACGGGAAGCGTGCGATCAGATGCCTGCACATGCTTATCGGGAGGAGAGCCCTTTGACCTCCATCTGCCGTCCACCTCTCTCCCAAGGTCTGTTTAATGGCATGGCTATGTCTCCCTCGACTGAGATTTAAGAGAGAAAAAAGAAAATCTGAAAAGAAATTTTTGCACGGATCTTGATGTAAGATCCGACGGACCTATATAGCATCTACTGCAACTTATAGCTAGACTGGTGAATATATATAAGGACGCGAGAGTGGATAATAATTGTCTTACATAATTAGGAAGATAATTTAAAAACCACATGCGGCTACGCCTGAAATACACAAGGGCAAAAGAAGAAGGAGGACGCATACAACGATCTGGCTCGCTGATCTCCACTTTCTTTATGCGCTGCAGGTCGTGGAGACTAGTTCTCGCGGTGAGCGGTGATTATCTCTTTCATCAGTTTCATGTCCTTAATACACTGGTTGGCAGCATACTCCAATTCCTCCACCAGCCTCTTGCGCTCGATCCGAAGCATGGCATTCTCGTCCATAAGTTTCTTGACGATGACGCCCGTCCTCTGCAACAAGGCAGCGGTCTCCTCCGCCTGCTTCGCCCTTCCGGCGAGCAGTCCGCGCTCGGCCCGGAGCTTCGCATTGCCCTCCCCTAGTTGTCGGATGACGCCGGTAGCCTCGTCCTACAACCTCGCCCAACCGGAGATCTGATCCATCTAGCTATGGACGATCACATGCATGCGCTTGTACGAGTCCTCACCTGCCCGCGACAAATTTTCCTAGGCTGCCGTGGCACGGCGGGACCTCCGTGCTGCTTGGGCGGCGCGGCGAGACATCTCTGTTGCTTCCGTGGCGCGGCCGGACCAGTCTACTACATCGATGGCGTGGCGGGACCTCCATGCTGCTTCGGCGGCACGGCGGGACCTATGTGCTGCTACTGTTGCGTGGCTGGACATGTCGGCTACTTTGGCAGTGAGGCGGGACATCTCTCGTGCCTCCTCTTCCATGCTCGCCTCTCTGTGGTGGAAATCTCTTGACCCAGAACTCACGCTGGCCATGGCAGACGCAAGGGAACGATGCTGAATGACTTGATTGTGTTTTGTGGATGAGGAGTTGAGGAGGAATGTGCAGTCATCTTGGCATAGTAGTATTTATAACCGAGTAGTACTAATACGCTCCTAAGTGGGAAACCATTTAGGTTGTGATCGGTGTGAACAGGTTCACAATTAAATATAGCATGGTAGTAATTTGGAATGTGACGAGACACAAGCTCAAAATTAATTGACGGTTCTAGTTTCGAAGTGCGACACTATTGCCGGATGGCATAACGTGGGCACGTGTTCTCGGTCGTGGTGTAGCATATGACATGGTACTTCTTTTTCTACTGTTGTGTACGTGCAATAACTGGCACCGTCGCATACATATTTTACGGTTATATTGGGGTGTTCCACAGGAATAACCTCGTGGCGAGCTATCGACTAGTCTTTTTTCACACGCATTACATCGACACATATCATCTCTCTCCTCTTTCCCATGCACACATCTATCTCTTGGGACTTCTCCGACGCACCATCACTAGCTCCCTAGGTCGATGCCACCCACATACACTTGTACTCTGAGTTTAGTACGTTATACAGGAAGAGAAGAGGTGCACACACGCACTCGTCCTCTCTCACACACGCATCTGTAGCTATGAATTGTAGTGTTCTCAACCATCCGATTGGCTCTATCATAGGTTTCATGTTACTCCTTGGCCTTGAGATTGAGAAGTTTAAAACACGGAGGCTAAGCTGGAGGCGTGTGGTTTTGGTTAATGTGCGGGCCGCACACGACACGAGCTTCGTCTGCCTGGTGCGCAGTCGGGTGGGTT